ACACATAAACACATACATACATATAGATAGATATATAGATTTGTGGGTGAGCATAAAAATTAGCTTCCAATTTTCATAATTTTAACCATAACATTAATTTTTCTAATTGGACTTAAGGTGGTGTTTGGCATCGATGCCGTTTTTTGAGAAAACGATGTCATGTAAATGCCACATCAGAAAAAAGTGGTGCTTCAAAAAATGGCCTCTTATTTGGTACTGTTTTTCCATAAAAAACATTGCTTTAGACTAGGGGTGTCAATGGACTAGTTTTGGGTTGGATTCCATCCAAATCAAAATCCATTTGGATGGATTGGATGGACCAATAAGACATATTGAATTTGGACAAACTGGACAAACCAATATGACATATTGGATTGGACCTGGTCCGTCCATAATGAACTTATATTAGACTGAGCCAATATCTGGTCCATTGATAGAAGATAAGAACATAGGTGTCAATGGACCAAGTTTGAGGTGAAACCAATCTAAATTTGAATAGATTGGATAGTCTCTGGACCGGTCCAAAATGGTCTAAAATATTCATTGGAYAGGATTGGACCATCCATTTGTAATTGATTCACATTGGACTGGACTAGATTGGACCAAATCCAATCCAATTGACACCCCTATTTTAGACCACGCCTTGGAAATCAGGAAAGTATGGTCTAAAGCAATGCCAAATTTGATGTTTTCTTTGAAAACAACTCGTTGCTTCAAGCGATAGGGGTGCTCACGGTTCGGTTAACCGAACTAATGTTATGGTCCCGCACGTAGGATCCCGTCACGGGTCGGTCCACGGTGCGAAAGCCYTGCTTCCCCTTGCGCCTTCCCTTGCTTGCAGACCTGATTACGGAAACTGAATGGGTGATTTGTCCAAGAGACCACCCGAACTCTCCCTTGGGGTGATTTGTCCAAGAAACCACCCGAACTCTCCCTTGGGGTGATTTGTCCAAGAGACCACCCAAACTCTCCTCACTCTTTTCTTGGCTGAAAAACTGAATAATGTTTTATTTCAATTCGTAGCTCCTTAAAT